TGTAGGAAAAACTTCAGGTAAACCTCTTTAACGTGAAATAATCAAATCGAATGCCTCTTGTGCGGAAGGATGTGCTGCTAGGCTTTGAAAATTGACTAAATAAGCTTATTTCGCTATACGTAATTTTTCAAAATAAGGCCATTTTCGCTACGAGAATACCCCAGATTCTAAAATAAAAAAGGCTTAGGTTCTAGTTGTGTGGCAAACTTCAGGTAAACTTCTTTAACATAAAAGAATCAAATCGAATGCCTCTTGTGCGGAAGGGTGTGCTGCTAGGCTTTGAAAATTAACTAAATAAGCTTATTTCGCTATATGTAATTTTTCCAAATAAGGCCATTTTCGCTATGAGAATACCCCAGATTCTAAAATAAAAAAGGCTTAGCTTCTAGTTGTGTGGCAAACTTCAGGTAAACCTCTTTAACATGAAATAATCAAATCGAATGCGTCTTGTGCGGAAGGGTGTGCTGCTAGGCTTTGGAAATTGACTAAATTAGCTTTTTTCGCTATACGTAATTTTTCAAAATAAGGTCATTTTCGCCATAAGAATAACGTAGATTCTAAAATAAAAAAGGCTTAGGTTCTAGTTGTAGTAAAAACTTCAGGTAAACCTCTTTAACGTGAAATATTCAAATCGAATGCCTCTTGTGCGGAAGGATGTGCTGCTAGGCTTTGAAAATTGACTAAATAAGCTTATTTCGCTATACGTAATTTTTCAAAATAAGGCCATTTTCGCCATAAGAATAACGTAGATTCTAAAATGAAAAAGGCTTAGGTTCTAGTTGTAGGAAAAACTTCAGGTAAACCTCTTTAACGTGAAATAATCAAATCGAATGCCTCTTGTGCGGAAGGGTGTGCTTCTAGGCTTTGAAAATTAACTAAATAAGCTTATTTCGCTATATGTAATTTTTCCAAATAAGGCCATTTTCGCTATGAGAATACCCCAGATTCTAAAATAAAAAAGGCTTAGCTTCTAGTTGTGTGGCAAACTTCAGGTAAACCTCTTTAACATGAAATAATCAAATCGAATGCGTCTTGTGCGGAAGGGTGTGCTGCTAGGCTTTGGAAATTGACTAAATTAGCTTTTTTCGCTATACGTAATTTTTCAAAATAAGGCCATTTTCGCCATAAGAATAACGTAGATTCTAAAATAAAAAAGGCTTAGGTTCTAGTTGTAGGAAAAACTTCAGGTAAACCTCTTTAACGTGAAATAATCAAATCGAATGCCTCTTGTGCGGAAGGATGTGCTGCTAGGCTTTGAAAATTGACTAAATAAGCTTATTTCGCTATACGTAATTTTTCAAAATAAGGCCATTTTCGCTACGAGAATACCCCAGATTCTAAAATAAAAAAGGCTTAGGTTCTAGTTGTGTGGCAAACTTCAGGTAAACTTCTTTAACATAAAAGAATCAAATCGAATGCCTCTTGTGCGGAAGGGTGTGCTGCTAGGCTTTGAAAATTGACTAAATTAGCTTTTTTCGCTATACGTAATTTTTCCAAATAAGGCCATTTTCGCTACGAGAATACCCCAGATTCTAAAATAAAAAAGGCTTAGGTTCTAGTTGTGTGGGAAACTTCAGGTTAACTTCTTCAACATAAAAGAATCAAATCGAATGCCTCTAGTGCGGAAGGGTGTGCTGCTAGGCTTTGAAAATTGACTAAATTAGCTTTTTTCGCTATACGTAATTTTCCAAATAAGGTCATTTTCGCTATGAGAATACCCCAGATTCTAAAATAAAAAAGGCTTAGGTTCTAGTTGTAGGAAAAAACTTCAGGTAAACCTCTTTAACGTGAAATAATCAAATCGAATGCCTCTTGTGCGGAAGGATGTGCTGCTAGGCTTTGAAAATTGACTAAATAAGCTTATTTCGCTATATGTAATTTTTCCAAATAAGGCCATTTTCGCTATGAGAATACCCCAGATTCTAAAATAAAAAAGGCTTAGGTTCTAGTTGTGTGGCAAACATCAGGTAAACCTCTTTAACATGAAATAATCAAATCGAATGCGTCTTGTGCGGAAGGGTGTGATGCTAGGCTTTGAAAATTGACTAAATTAGCTTTTTTCGCTATACGTAATTTTTTAAAATAAGGCCATTTTCGCCATAAGAATAACGTAGATTCTAAAATAAAAAAGGCTTAGTTTCTAGTTGTGTGGCAAACTTCAGGTAAACTTCTTAAACATAAAAGAATCAAATCGAATGCCTCTTGTGCGGAAGGGTGTGCTGCTAGGCTTTGAAATTTGACTAAATTAGCTTTTTTCGCTATACGTAATTTTCCTAAATAAGGCCATTTTCGCTATGAGAATACCAGATTCTAAAATAAAAAAAGGCTTAGGTTCTAGTTGTGTGGCAAACTTCAGATAAACTTCTTTAACATAAAATAATCAAATCGAATGCCTCTTGTGCGGAGAGTGTGCTGCAGGGATTTGAAAGTTGCCAAAATTAGCTTTTTTGACTTTTGTAAATTGCATAATTATGTTTGTACCATTTTTATAAAATTATCGTGTATTAATGACACGATTGCACATAATTCTGGAAATTTGTCATCTCTTGAATAAAAAATTAATATTTCGCGCCACCAATATAGAAGAGACGTTATGCTGATCTTCAGAATATCCAAATTACGATATAACGATAATGTACGACATATAATAACCTGACTTCTGATTTCAGCGCCAGTGAGACATATTGAAACAAAACAATTTTTACGTTCTGTTTATTGCATGTGTTGAAGAATTTGCTATATACTACAAAATGCATGTGAAACTTCTTAAATTACTAAGACATATTATAATGAAGTTTAACGTTTGTTACGTAATACAATACACAGTTTGAAACGAAGTAAAGCACTTTTACGGCTACGAAATGTTGTAATTTAGTAGGCTGGTTTTGAAATATTTTTAAAGTTATACAAAAATGCTCGGGGCTCTTGGTTGAATTAACACTTTAGCAAAATAAGCAGCGCGCATAAAGCATCACGGAATGGGCACCATATAAATTTTTATCGGTATCACAGTGTTTAATATTGTAAATCGAGTTGGTCAGACGATTTGGACCTCAACTCAATGGCTCGGTTGATATTGCTTATTTCTCTTAGTTCGCGTACCATCTTGCACCTCTGTATAAATGTTTGCAGGCATGAGAAGTATTTCCAAAAAAAATGTCACATAAATTGAACATAACTTAGCTTTTAATTAGCAGTTATTACCGAAACCTATGCAGGTGACATGGAACACTCGTTTCGTTATATTTTCAAGCTTATATGAATACGTAATCTAACATTTTTTGTCAAAATATTTGTCCTGATCAATTTTATCAGCCGAGTATATTTAATTTCGACAACGTACTATGACAAATGAAACTGCATAGGCGATCAAACCGCCGGGATGCTCTCCACTCTGTATCCTAAGTTGCCGTCAAATATATTTGAATTTACTGCTTATCGTGATGTATTTCTTCCACAGCCTGTCTACAAACTTAATCATTGTTCTCTGTGTGGAATTTAGGACTCGCCCATGTTTTACGCCATCACCCTTCAATAAGCACAAAACTGTCATATCACCCTTCAATGAGCACAAAAACGAGATTATACGCACCGCTGCGCAAAATTAGAAGAAGGTTTGCTACTAGCTTCACAGTGGTACTGTTAACCTTGCAGACGACGTCTGCAGAAACATTATTCCGGAAACGTCATCGTACAGTGGTGCAATGAGCATATGCTGTTATTATATTATATTAGTACGATAGACGGAAGCAAAATCATTTCAGATAATAAATAATAACGCACCAAAAGAAAATCAAAAGTTATTCGATTCGTACTCAAATGTTTGGGGAAAAGTGGCCAAAAATATGAGGAAGTGAAACAAGTGCTGACTGGCGCTTTTTTTGTCTTCGATTGTTGCGTCACTGTGACTTTATTCCATGATTAGCCATTGTTGCAGAAATGAATGAGGAAGTTAATCAACGTGTAATCATTGATACCTTAACAACTTGTTAAGTCATCAATGGTACAATGGTGGCTCTCACCAATCTTTAAATTATGTTTTCCAGGCCTATATTCTTGTTACCACTTTCTAAAACAAGTGCCAGTATGCTGGCTTTTGGGAAAGAGCAAGTATCGGTATAATAAAGTGTTACCGTAGCTGCGCATCGAATTTGCGCTTGGGATCGGGAAATATACACACAAATTAGATGCCGAATGCTTTGTATAGCCCAATGACATATAACAACATGATAGGCAACTCTGACGTCACCCCGTAAGGCTATGAGCAAAAGATTGTATTTTATGATACGCTCCAATGCACATACCTCTCGTCGCTTTTCATCACATCTTTTCCATTCTCTTTGCTTATTCTGCGGGGTGTTTACGCTAACTACCCGTTATTCTGCATCTGTAACAAACGAAAATTGCCATTATGTCTAAGCATTGTTGTGTTCCCGGCTGCAGCAGTATCGCAAGTACCTCAGGTTTGTGTGCGGTGCCAGCGAAACGATTTTGCTCAGGTGAAAAGAGGGAGTGGGCTGACAAGCTGGAAAGAATCATTTTGGGCATCAGAGATGATCGTTTTATCAAAGATCTTTACAAACGCGATAGCGTGAAGATTTGTTTGGAGCATTTCGCAGATGATGACAAAGTTCAAAGTTAGTTATTTAGGAATTCTCCTATAAAGGAGGTACCGGTACCATACAGATTATCAGAAGGAACTTTTATAATGCCAACTCTGCTGTGATACAGTGTCAGAATGTGGAAATTCGAAATTAATGTTGGAAGCATTGGAACGAATACAATGATTTTAAATTAACTAATCGAAAACGACAAAAGAACTCGATACCCCAATCCATGATTTGTGCATAGACTGATATGGAACATTCAATCTATTTAACGAGCTTGTTTTTAAGTAACAATTTTTCGTCACTGTGTTATTTTTGCAATGAAATTGAACTACAGCATCATCATTTTACGTCAACGAGTGTTTTTTACTCCATATTTTTGTAATGAAATTGAACTACAGCATCATCATTTTACGTCAACGAGTGTTTTTTATTCCATATTTTTGTAGGAAAAGCACTGTCACTGTGTTATTTTTGCAATGAAATTTAACTACAGCATCACTATTTTAGGTCAACGAGTGTTTTTTATTCCATATTTTTGTAGGTAAAGCACTGTTGTTATACACATACACGTCTCACATTTTAAAATGGATTTGAAAAGGTATTGCTTGATTTTATTGTGTTATTTTGACTGTTTTTGGTGGACGGGCACGTACTTGTACGTTTTTAATTTTTTCATTAAGTTATGCCTGCCTCCAGGTCTTCTGCATTTTGTTTTTCCGTTTGTTTTTTTCAGAGTGACCGAAATAAAATTGATTGATTGATGTACGTATTTGTTGCCCGCTAAATAGCATCACGTGAATATACTTCATTGTTTTTGTGAGTAATAGTTGTTTTGTGAGTAATTGTTGGCTATTAGGAATATTGCATATTCAGTTTTACTGTATGTAACATTACTGCTATATAACGTCGCTCCATAGATAGGTTTTTGTATAAATTTATGAATTTGACTTGCTAGCCTACTAACCAATAGTGTTATTTTCAAATTATCTGATTCTGTTATTATTTGTATGCAGGAGGTTGCAGGACTGAATTGAAGATGGGTGCAATTCCTAAATTAAAAATGCCTATCAAAATTGGAAACAACAAAACTCATGCAATTAGACCTCCACAAAAACGGAAATATCAAAGTACTATACCGGTATACCATAAAGACATTGAAGATTTGAAAAAGAGTGCCATGCAATACTTACCTCACCACTGGGATTTTGAAACTCAAAACAATAGCATATTATTTTATTCTAAAACGGATTCCAGAACTAATATTCCTCAATTCACTGTTTGTTTTACCAAATCTCTTGCAATGTTTGCTACATATTATGGCTGGACCACAGTATCTGGGAAACCTTTCAGAGAAGTTGATGTTGCAACAATGACTCTTTCCAGCATTTTGAACCTTTTTACTAATAGTAAAATTTGCCAAGGCATATCTTCCAACTGCAATGACATCAACATGGACGGTGTTCACATCCACCAAAAGGTTATCTGGTCACAACCTGATAAGGAAAATCCTATCTGTGGTCCGCCAGTGATGGAGAAATTAGCTCTCCGGTAAGTAGTGATTCATTAGTTTCCAACCTTCCTGTGTTATTTTGTATACTTCTTATGATGAAACTTATTTGAAATATCAGCAAAGTCATTTTCATACAGCTTTATTGTTTTCAGATCAATAACCTGTGACATATTCATATCATCGGGAAGCAAATGCGAGCAATGTATGAAGGACGAGAAGCGAATACAAAGTACTACAAAAAGGAAAACTTCCTACATAGAAAAAGTTCGCCAATTGCCATTGAAATATGTCAAATCTGGTACCTTGGACTGTCGGAACATAGCCACAATGAAACATCAAGCCATAAGGTAGTCTTTAATATTTTTTGATCATGTTTTGTTGAATATCTGTTCGAGATGTCAATGGTCGATTATTATTGTTATTGTGAATTCGGAGAAATGTAGTTTTTAACAATATTAATTTATGTGGTATTTGTTCAAATTCCATTTATAAAGATTTTATATACTTTACGTTTAAAATTTTTGCCCAACGTTGATTCAGACAAATACTAACAAAACACATGAAAGTGAACTCAATAATATTTTATTTTCAATTATTGTAGATTGAAAGAATTAGAAGAAGAAGTTCGAAATATGCTTCAGGATAAAAATATTCAAGTACCTGTCGATTCCGAAATGTCAGAAGACTTTAATGCAATAATAAATAATGGTACATAATTTTCTGTGGTTTTTGAAGATAAATATAACTCGGTATTGTTAATTCTAGGTTTTCTATTATTTACTTTGTTCAGGTTTGCAAAAAAATGAAGTGTCGCCCTTTTACAATATGTTCTGGAAGGAGCAGGCCAAACTTAATTCTGCAGCAAAGCATGGCAAACGTTACCACCCGGAACTGATAAAGTATGTGTGATTTATTGACATAACATATATATATATATATTGTAAAATAAGCCGTTTATATATATATAAATATGAAAGTAAAGTAAAATAACGAACGCAAAGTTTTTGATTGAAATATGAGATGACCAGATGGAGTTTACAACAACTGGGTTTATTACATTTTTATTCGATACCTCCAAGCCATTTGAAGCACATGACAGCTACTTTTATCTTTTTCTTTCGGATTTAGTATTTGTAACGAAATTAAATATTTTTTTTTTATAATTGGCTGAACCCTCATTTTGACAGAGTATATTATCTATTCTTTTATTTTAGATTTTGTTTAAGCCTCGCAATGAAAAGTTCCAGTGCATATGACGAGCTTCGTGATTCTGGAATTTTGATATTACCAAGCAGAAGAACCTTAGTCGATTACAGGTAATCATATCCTTACATTATCAATTATAAAACTGTTATAGCTTGAGACTGTACGATACTGAGATTGTTTTTGTGAATAAGGTTTACCTCTTCAAAATCGTTGTTGACTTTAACATCTTCATTTAGAAATATTTACACTGTGGAACCCGGCATTTCTGAAAGTGTTAAGAATGAGTTGAAGAAGAGAGCTCAGAATATGTCTAGTGAGGATCGTCTCCTAGTTTTATCTATGGATGAAATAAAGGGTAATATACCTGTTAGCACTCTTTCAGTTAGTGTTACACCTTATGACTGAAGGCTTAGAGCTACAGGCCTAGTATCACTTTTCACATTGAAAGGTTGTCTGTGAAAAATGTTGAGCATATGATGAAAATGTGAAGAAATTTTATTTATTTTTAACTGAGCAAATTGGGTAAGATGTTTTTAAATTGAGTCAATAGTCAGTCTCGTATAAGAAAAGCAAATAGTTTGAACATTTCTATATTTTGAATTGGCTTTGTAGTTTCTGATTGCAATAAGCATTTATTCTTGGAATTTTTGGAATTTCAGTCAAAGAAAACATTGTGTACAGCTCTTCATTAGATAAGATGCTGGGATTTGTGGATATGGGGGATTCCAGGAATGCAAAAGAAAAAATACCTGCTAACCATGCATTGCAAATATATGCAAGAGGTCTTGTCAGTCGGTTCTCCAAACCTCTAGCTTTTTTTGCCACCAAAGCTGTTCATTCATTCCAGCTAACCAGTATTTTTTGGGAATGTGTGGGCGAGTTACAGGATTGTGGATTCCGGGTAGCTGCATTTGTATGCGATGGACTAAGCGCAAATCGTAAAATGTTGTATGAACTTAATAATATGGACCTAAAATTTCCATATAAATGCAATAATATTTTCGACCCCCAATACTTCATTTATTTATTATTCGATCCACCCCACCTGCTCAAAACAGTCAGAAATAATTTGCTAAGCAGTCAAAACGGAGGGACAAAGCTATTGAAAAAGGGAGACAAATTCATTAGATGGGAGCATTTCAAGGCTGTTCCCAGCTTTTTCAAGTCCAATGAACTAAGATGCTGTAAGCTCACTAACGCCCATTTCTGCTTGCAAAGCTATTCCAAAATGCGGGTCAGTTACGCGGCACAAGTGCTTTCAAACACCGTATCAAATTTATTAAGCAGAAGAGGTTGTCCTGAGATGGAGGCAAGTGCATGGTTTGCAGGATTTTTTAACAAGTGGTTCGATCTAATGAACACTAGATTAGATTGCGGTTACAACCAAAACCTGCAGCCTTACCGATCACCTGATGATGCTCGTTTAGTTTGGCTCGAGCAAGTCTTTTTACAAGACTTGCGTCATTGGAAACAATCTGTTACGCAGTCTTCTGATTTTGAAAGAAACAAACATTTTTTGAGCAGGGAAACTTATGAAGGACTTGAAATAACAACCTCGGCGATAGTGGAGTTGATCCGAACAACATTAACTCATCTCCCAGCAAATTGTTATATCATTACAAAACGTGTCAATCAGGATCCTCTTGAAGCGTTTTTTGGCCATGTAAGAAATCAGGGAGGAAAAAATGAAAATCCAGATATCCAGCTATATGGTCAGTTCCACCAAATAATTTCGGCAAAAAAGGGTTTAAAGGCAATAAAAGGATCAAATGTTGATTGGAAAACGACTACAGTGTCTGATGAGAAACTTCGCAAACGACCTGCTAAGTCTGCGTGATATGATGTTAAATTTTTGCTCTTGTCTTTTTTATTATTACTATTAGTATTTTTTTAATTTTGGTTCTTTTTTTATCGGTTTTTAATATGTTACTTTTTTTGTACACACTTTATTTCGTATCACGAGATTAGACAGAATTTTCCATTTTTTCCTGCCAAATATTGCATTTTCCTACTGTTCGGCACTAAAGAATGGGCATAGGGCGTTTCAGAGTTTTCTGGAGCGCGATAGGACCCCATCAACAAGTCCTAACGAGTGGATAAACCGACACCTCCTGGGTCCACATGGAAGCTCGGTAGAATATTTAGACAAAATTTATAGGAAAAGTTGGTTTTGATTATAATACTCAGTGTTGACTACTCTAATCTACGTCAGCACTAATATGCGATTACAGCACTAATATGCATTTTCTGTACTACAAAGAGCTATTTTTGAGAAAAATGAAAGATTTTATTATCACAAACCATGTCAGCACTATGATAAATTTGAATAAACAGTAAAATAATTAAGCAGTAAAGGGTTAGGTCACAGAGGCTCCTGGCCTATAAGAGAGATCATTCACATATAGCATTCTATATATTTTCCAGATGTCACATATGATCAGGGGTTTATGCTACGAAGTATCCAAGTGGGCTAATTGAATAAAAAATTATGGCTTCTCACCACCCAATTTTGCCTTCAACGCTTTGCGAAGGCCAATGTTTTGATCTTTTGGGTGGTTGAACTGATCATTTAGAACTCTAGCTTTTTGGTAGCAACGGATTTTTAAATAATGTAACGACATTTTTTCAATCTGATCCAAAGTAATAATATTTCGTAAAGCAATGCTCATATCATTTAGATTAATGTTGTCCAAAATATTGAACAAAATTTTATCATGCTTATATCCTTTCCTGAATTCTTTCTCAAGTTCTACCAGAAATTGAACCAATTCTGGCGCAGGTGTAGTTAGCGACCCATAATCTTTATTTTGCAATACAGTTATAAGAGAGTCTGGTGGGTTTTGTGGCTCTTTACAAATAAGGCTGCATATACAATCATACTCTTCGGGGTTTTTAGTCAATTTTCTCATGCGCTGCAGGATGTGGCCTCCTATATATTCAATGATGAAAATTTCATCCTTATTCAAGTTCGGCATATCTCTACTGAGTTTCCCAGTGTCTTTGCTTGCTTGTTTTATCGCAAGTTGATCGAAAACTTTGCGCACGGTCTGCAGTAAACGAGTACGTGGCATTTCAGGAATAAGTGATGGTATCTTTTCTATGGCATCTTTGCTGAACGATGACATGAAATCGGAACCTCCGTTGGTTGTTTTCCTATTCCTATTGCAAACATCAATGAAGTACGCAAGTACATTGTTCGGGATCGTACTGTTGTTACTGACATTACACCAGGCTTCTGTTATGTCCCCTTCTGTTACTGTTTGTCCTGTGGATAAATAATGTGATTTTTGAAACTGCGGAAATGCTAAAAGTTTTTGGTCCCTGTAGTATATATACCAAGTTAGGGTTGGGGCATCATTTTATTCCAATTTTCATATTTTTAGTTATGTTACGAGTTTGGGGATCAGTCAAAGTATTTGTACCTGAAATTACAGACTAACCCTAACCTGGTACACACACTCCGTTCGGTGTCCGCCAAGAGATAGTAGGCCAACCCTTTATCATTAGTATACTTACTATGTTTATGCTGCCTCTTGTGCTGTAGGAGTCTCACAATACTTGGAAACGTTTTCCCGCAACTTTCACAACTAAAGATAGAGAAAGCTTTTTTAATTGTCAACTATAATAATAATAATTGATGAATGAAACAGTTGTGAAAATAGTAAAAATTGAAGCAAGAACAATAGTGTTTGGTATAGACTAGAGCGTGGCCATCACATTCAGCTCCCTCAAGTTTGTAATTATAAGTAGCCTACTCCGAGGATGTTTATTATAAATTGATTATATTCTCTAAAGTTGTTTAAAAAAAATTGCAGGTTGAATATGGCCTATGATGGCCTAGTGATTTAATCAGTTTCAAAATATATAAAAGTTGATGAATAACGTCCAAGACATTAGACGAAACCTATAATTCAATACTATATACAAAAATGTTACTGAATTTTGGATAAGAATATTAACTTATAATAGGGTGTAGCACTCATTATGTCTATATGTATTTAAAAGTTTATACTATATACCAGGGTGGTCCAAACCCAGGCCCGAGGGCCACATGTGGCCCCCACTCCATTATTTGCATTTGGTATTGTTGTGTCATATAAATAACCAGGAAAATCGTTCGACATATTGTTACATCTCTAATGAATGTCACGGAATTGACTAGTGTGAATGCTAGCTGTGTTTAATATTGTGTTTGGCTAGTCTAAATTTTTAACTATTTTTTGGTCAGAAATATATGCCAACAAAATAGGCTTAATATAAAACTATAAATCGAATGAGGAATCTATGAATTAGCCTATGTTAACCCTTTCCATGCGATTTTTATTTTTTATTAAATAATCGTATTTGCTACGCCGACTTTATGCATTTGTACCCCCACAACTAATCGATCGACTAACGAAAAAGTAATGATCCTCTGCTGCCCATTGACGGCTCGTTGGAAAGCTTATTTAAAGAGCTTGCAATTGGCGATTAAAAAAAATTTTTTCTGAAAGGGGTGGTCTGAGTCACAAACCGGATAGAAAAAAGGCATTTTTTTTTCTTGGGTGTTGAAACTTCAAACCGTGATAAAAAATAGAAATATTCGCTAAATCCTTTACTGTTACCGCTTCTTGGTTGGCAAACAATAGCATAATATTGCTGTAGCAATTTCGTTATCTAATTCAAAATACTTTGGTAGATGGAAGGGATAATATGTCTTCTATTACCGCCCAAAAAACATCGAAATTTGCATAAATTTCAAAAACACTCCCTCGTTCCGCCGCAAATAAAATTCCCATGGTAAACGAAAGCGAGATTTACCGTCGCTTATGTTAATCTCGAAGAAGATTTCTTATCAATAAACTAAAACCCGGGAAAACTAGACCAACAGTTTGCGACCGATTGCTAAATAAAACAGTGGAGTACATCAACGTACCCGCCGCAATCTAGCGAGTTTTGTCGTGGGTACGTATACGTGCCCACCGCACGGAAAGGGTTAACTATGCCTGATAATTAAATATTAATGTAATGGCCGAACAATTTAATTCCTGCCGGGTGTTTTTTTCTAACAAGCCTAAACAGTAAAAATGCTGCTTTTATGTCAGAAAATTTAGTAATTACCCTCCTGTATCTCAAATTTGGTAAAATTCAGTAATCAATTGATCTGCAGTTATTTTATTTGTAAATATAAGTTTGAAAGAAAGCTGACACATTCGAACAGATGTTTGACTGGATAGGAGGGGGGGATCTTATACTAAATGTAGATATTGTGAGTTTTTGGTGGTTTTGGAAGTTTTTAGCTTGATAAAAGACAAATAATGATCAAGGTGTTTGGACAATAAAAGTGTTTGTTTTGTATTGCAATGTTCACCTACGGTAGGCTTTTGGCCCTATTGTGGCTCGCGAACAATACGAAATTAATAGTGTGGCCCGCAAGGCCCTCAACTTTGGACCACTCCGCTATATACCGTAAGAGAACTGCAACTTATAGGACTGATTTTCCATGTTAGGTGGACCGTGTGCTTAAAAACTGATATTACCCATTTAGGCTAGTTAGTTTTAGGATGCAGCACTAATATAAATATGTTTACATAAACTATTGCAAGTCAGCCTAAAAAGCAATTTTCCCGAATAAACAAGTACCGAATATAATTCCTGCCTTAACATTACTTAACATCTACATAAACTACTATTTGAAACATCCAGGGGTCAGCCTCTCATTCAAAATAAAAGCAATTTTGGCAAATGCAGAAATGAGCAACTAGTAGGTCTATGGTATTAGCAGCACAGGCACTTGGTAGTGTGATACCAGGCCGGTAGGTTATGTAGGATACAAAAATTGTATTTACTTACGTTCTTGCGATTTCCTTCCCAACTCCACTTTCTAAAACATTATCAAAATCGACAACGACCGTTAAAGCAGGCACAGGCTCCATCTCTAAATGCCTTGGTGGCGATACAGCCACTCGTTCTAGAGGCACAAAGTATGTGCACTGAAGCGTGCTGTCGAATACGATCTCCGGCAGAAAAAGCCGCAGTTGCGCATCATGTTGTTATATGTCATTGGTATAGCCGTACAGTACCGGTACCGTGCCGAATGCTTTGTATAGCCGTACAGTACCGGTACCGTACCGTATAGTGATTGAAAAAGCAATTAATCTTCAGTATCATTATTGTTTTTATTACTAATGCCAAGACATATCACAGTACCATGAGTAGACCAAAAGATTTTGAGATTTGAACAACACACTTAAAATATTTTAATACAATCACATTTTTGATGAATGAGCACAAGGGTTATATGACACTTATTTTGGAAGTCTAAAGTCTTTTTTGTTTAAGGCTTTGTCAATTCAGCTATGACAGAATTCACAAATCTTCTGAGTATATCAGTATATTCTTGCCATGAAAAGTAGAAGACCTAAATATAGTACGGTACTGTAGTTTTTGAAAAAGTGTCTGCATAACATGTTATGGAAAATTTATGTTATGAGAAAATTTCTCTTGATAAACAAAGTTTGCAAACCTGCTGGAATTGATAGAGAAGTGAGGAAGGGGAACCTGTGGATTCAGGAATGACTATTGGTGCCACTTTGGTATGTTTAGTTAATAAATTAGTATGTTACCTACTTAATTTAAAAGTATCTAATAGTAGGTATGGTATAAGTTCATTTCGACTCCATAATCAGCAGTAGACAATAAAATAATAGTTGAAGCAAAAAAAAAAATAACTGATTATAAAATCGATAGAGCAAACAAAACCTCAAGTAAGATTTGGAGCGTACAAATTTCAGATGGAAAGGTATTGATGAAAGAAGTAGTTTGTGTTCGCTCACCCAAAAGTATAAAAACAAATTAAAACACCCACACATACAATCATCGAGACATGATAAGGTTGGGAGTGAACAAAGCGAGACTTAAAATCAATAAAATTACTCAGTAAAAAGAAAAATATAAAAAAAATGAATAAATTCTTTTGCCACACCAAATTAATAATTTCATGAGGATTGCCAAATTGGATACCGAATGAGTCAACAAGAGTTATATACTGTGGATATAAAAATATTCCTTAAAAGATATTGTTGGACTGATTATAATTCAGTAATTAGAGTCACGTTAAAACCTTATTGTTGAAATTAATCGTAATATAATAAAATCAGTGCCATTTACTACATCTGTCTTATATTAGATGCACCAACTTGCCTTATCAGACTAAATTACAATGTGACATGTTGTTGATTATCGTCAAGTAGGCTATTAGTTGAGTGCGTTCATAATCACATGTTGCACACCGCTTGTTTGTTGTATTCCGCTCCTTTGTTATTTTCTTGTACAGATATAGTAGAAACTGCAGTTCACGTTCAAACACCACGTCCACACCTAAATATTTACGCCTGAATTATCTTTCATTTTTTTTTTTCAAAATTTACTTCAATTGCTTTGTTTGGGGTAAGTGGGCACCTGCGTCCTGCATTAGCACTTCTTAAATATTTTTTAGATTTTGCTTACTTCCCTGATTTTTTTGTATATATTTGTTCGTTTTGCCATTTATTGTTTTGTTGTAATGGAATATGAAAATAAACACTTACTGACTTACCGGTACACTTATTGTTGGGTTTATAATATGAAATTTTGGTAAGAATCGGAATTTAGCTTCGGGCTACTGCTCTGTAATAATTTAATTCTAGAACTTGGAATTATCATTTCTCTGTCGTATAATACAAGTGGATATTCTGCTTTTCGAGTTTCATAAACTCCTCATGCTGTATGTTCTTCGGTTTGGTTTATTATATTATTAAGCTTTTTGAATAGACTAACAAAAATTACTCGAGACATTGTAAATTCAATGAATATTTGTAACAGTGGATACCTATTTTCTTACTGACAGGTTTTACGGTAGTTTGGTGAAAATAAATATCTGTACTAAATATCAAAAATGTCTGTTCTTGGGTTGAGTGACTTCATATTGGGTGATTTGTTGTCGGATAAAAACATGAAACCCTGGTGGGAAAAGGCTAGAGGATAATGTTATGCAGCTTGTGTCGCAGCGTCTCTCTTCATGTTTTATTTTACGTTGACTACATCCACAGCTTGTGTTCCGTTGTCACAGAATGTAAGTCTCCCATTTGAGCTCACAAAAGCACATACCTCTTTAATGAACAATTACTGTATCAACCAATTCCCCTGGTTTGTTTCCTATAGTGGGATAATATTGTTGGCATTTGTAGCATTATTGTTGATTGCTTCTGCTTCCTGGCTATATTTTCCTGCCGTCATAAATTCATTCAACACTTTTAAGGAGGTGGAGACCATCATTAAAGAATTGCTTGATCGAAATAAAGATTTAAAATCTATGGTTACTGAACCAGTTGATAAGGAAAAAGGGGATTCGTCACAACTTCGAACGGCTCATGAACTCTTGTTTGGCTACAAATGCAAAAGCACTGTTGCTACATTTTATGTTATAAGGAATGTCATCTCCCTTGTCATTATTTTCTTATCGCTATGTTTTTCAATTGCAACATTGGTGAAATTATTTGGATCTGGCAATCGCTTCCATTGCTCTCTTACTGAGGGCTATCATTTAGAAGTTCATGGCGTTGGTGACCCCTTCAAATATTTTTGTTCTTTGAATATAAGGAGACAACTTATTCCTTTTGTCATAGTGTTCTCTATTGCTGCATTTTGTCAGATAGCTTTTACTTCTGTGGGAATTATTAAGGCATGTAATATCACCATGCCTGATCACATACGCAGTAAAGATTTACAAAAAGGATTCAAGTTTTGTCAATTCATGATAAATTTTTGGAAAAGTGCTGATCCCACTCGGTCAGGGGCATTTGGCAGTTTTGTTGAATTCGTTTTTAGCGAAGAAGCATTGGATAAAATGAAAACGCAGCTTAATAATGCTGTGAAGTCTAATGACATGCGTTTCATTGAAATGTATTGTAAAATGCGAAAAGATGGAGAGCGACATGTAATGAAAATCCTGGCTGGTGTCTTTCGTAAAAACAAAGAAGATAGTCAAGGTAATGTATATGGTGCAAACGATATCATTAAATGTTTGAAGCATATTCAGTACTCTGTAGAAGATTCTGAAACAGAGGATTTGATAAAAATAGCTGTTAAGCATAGTCATTGGCCTCTTTTGGTCGCAGTTCTTAGCTGCCTAAACTCTGAGGTGTCTGAAAATGAAGAATATATTAAAAGATTAAACCTAAATTTGGATGAATTGGAAAAATGTAGCGAAGAATTTGTACCTAGCATTCCAAAGTCTATCCTATATTATGCTCTGTCAGAGCCAGAATATTTTAAAGCTGCTGAGTATCTTTTTGGAGCTATAAAGGATAATCGACCTAAATACGTTCACAGTGATCTTCAGACATGGTCTGCAAATGATTTCTTGAAAAAGGTGTTTGATAGGAATCCTCATCTTGCTGAACAAAAGTTGACAGAACTACAGAAATTGATAGAAGCAAGTGAGGGAGGTAAGTCTGTTCCAAGTTGCAGCGAGATGGAAATACGCCGAATTTTAATGAAGCATCAGCTTTCTGCAGCATTGCATTCTGATGAGTTCAGATATAGTGAAGAGTATTCACGTCACAAGATGATGATTGAAGAGGAAATTTCTTCTTACAGATTTACTCACTGGGATACAGATGCACAAAATTTTGCTAAGTACTTGGCATCTACAAAACAATGGGATATCTTCATAACTTTGTTAAACTCCTACATAGCTGAAACAACTATGAATCTTCACCATTTTGAATGTGGAGTTTATGAGTTTGATGTTGATGAAAAAAACAAAAATTCACCTTTCGATTCTTGTTTGAATCGTATCCAAAGCAATACGCCTTCAGTCAATGTTCCGAAGTTTATCCCTTTCATTAAGGTTCTTGAGCATATGCTTTATTATACCATTCCCTCAGAAAAAGGACAATCTCATCCTGCTATGTGGGTTTTTGACAGAGTTGGTCACTATGATGTTAGCCAAGAATTGAAGCTTAAACTTGAAAAAAGCATGAGAAGAAAGTTTCATGGGAATACAGAGTCTGATAATCAAACTCAACAGCCAACCGAAACACAACAGGGGGCTGAAACTCAGCAAAATTCTTTGCCAGAGGAAGAAGCAAGCCAGAGTACGCCTTTGCTACCTGTCACTTGTGGAAGTACCCTTCAAACTCCAATTGATATGGAGCACAGTGAAAACATAGTCTAGTATGGGATGTAAAGAATGTCATACGCACCACTGAGTAATTGAAAGAAAAGTACTGCAGTGATTAATAAGTATATTGCGAAGTATCTCACTTTGCTATTTTGATTGAAAGTTCCTACGTATGTAGGTTACATTATTAAACAAAATTCATTTTGAAGGAAGATTTGACGTAAACGCCCAACATTAATAATACCAAAGTCTGAAATGCCCGAAAAAACGACCCTGACTTCACAATCGAAAAATACATGCCTAACTCTGACTTTGTGGCCTTGTTGATGAATTATGTTAGAGCCGCCTATATTGCTGCTTTTAGTTAGATGTATAAAGTTTTAAAATGTTAGTATAGCCGATTTCAGCTACTTATTTCTCTGAATGTTGCTTCCAAATACTATGCATTATTTTTAATACTTATAATATGGTTATATTTATGATTATAAACTAGCAATGCTTTGATTTGCGAATCAAATTGTCTCTTTTTACGAATCTTGCATGATCAGCAAACTTTGTAGTCGATTCATCACTGTTATCAACAACTTCCAATTTGCATAGAAGTACGATAATTTTCAACAAAAATGAGATGGATTTCCAATTAATCCGGATATCGGTTATTCTTTTTATCAATATAAAATTTGTGGGCCCATTCACTGAAAAGTTGACCATTCTTATTATCCAGCATGTTTGTGTGTGAATATCCATCGTCAATGTATTTTCTGTTCAATATTCGGGCTTATGTTGTGATTTTGGGCAAACCTGCTCTTCTGCTCTTTTAATAAAAGCTCAAAGATCCACACTATGTTCATTAGATTTGAAATTCTTCAATTCGATAAATA